TCTCAGGCGTCTCTTTACGGACAACCATGTTGCCGTGATCTTGAGTGCAGAGGGACATTGGGGGAATCTGCTTCCAAACGGCAGAGCCCGTAAGGCACGTGGGCTGCAGATGGCTCATCCCCGCTCCTCACTGAAACACGGCCAGAGCCACCTCTTACACTGCAACCCCTGACCAAGCCCCAGGTTAAATACAGCATTATCAAAATGGTCCCTCTTCCTGGCCACTCACCAAGAAAACTCCACCCAAAGCCTACAGAAATATCCCCTGCCTTCCATCGTCACAGCAAATCCAAGGGCAGCATAAAATCACAGGACGATCCCTTAATCGATAAGCAGCAGCAATAGACTACAAACACACTTTGTATAACCAGTTCCTTACTCCCCTCTCCCCTTCTGCAGTGGCAACACACATCTTACACTGCAGCAGATGCTGGACATTTGTTCTGGCACCAGATGCTGTCCAGGGACCTTTCTTTCTTCCCTCCCCTGGGCCCAATCTGCTTTGCAGTTCAAGGAATACTAATGCTTCCCTCAAATCCTTGCTGAAAGACAAGGCTGCATTCTTCTACTCCCAATCCACAAGGTAACTGTTTAGACGACCCAACTCGCATATGTAAATTGAATTCTTTAGAAACCAGAGTGCAGTGGGACTCCAGACAGAGCGCTTATGGGATGCTCTGGGACTTTTTCTCTCTTCTACACAAATTTTTCTGGAGAAGAAAACAGCATTGCTGGCTAGAAATGGGTGGGAAATTGTTTCTCATTCTCTGAACCTTTTTCTGAGACTTCAGCAAGTTTCCATTCTGTGCTGGGACAAAGAAAACAAGAAGAAAAAAAAAAAAAATCTTTCAGAGTTTTTAAGGAAGCGACTACAGGGCGCGCCGTCTGCCCAGGGTAGCCAACAGCTGGCTTGTTTGGGAAGTCGTCTGTGATCCAGCACATACAGGCCACAAACCCTGAGCTGCTGGTCCCTCAGGCCCCAGCTGAAGCTCTTCTTTCCTGGGACTCCATGAGGCTGGGCTCTCTCCATCCATCCTGACGGGGCACCCGCTTCGCGCAAACCTGCTGGAGAAGAGTCCTGAGCTCACCTCTCACAGACACATCCTGCTGACTGCCGTAACCACTGGGCTGCACTGCCAGCCCTGCTCCTCAGTCCGATGATTATTAAATCATTTACTTGAAGTAGAAATGCTCCAACAACACTGACTAAAAGAGGCCAGTGAAGTTGAATCACTGTTTGCCTTGGGGGAATAAAGTCCTGCTTGATGATTCGCCCACACCCCAGGTAACTGCCAGCCGCTAGCTAGCTGGTCGGCTCTCCTGGGATGAGAAAAGGGTTTTCCCAGTCAAACCAGTGGTCATGATCAAGACATTCCTGACTGCCATGCACCAGGCAGCAAGAAACAGGGCAGGGATCCCCTCTCTAGCTCCACAACTGGATGAAATGCCATGCCAGCAGTGCAGGGTCATCCCTGCTGTCAATAACTGTAAGGTTGCACAAACATGTCTATGCAGCCCTCCTGACCTGGGTGACTACCTCTGTGCAGTGCCACTTCGATGTAAGTTGAACTCAAAATCTTTCTCTCCCGTTCCCTGACTCGGTATGGACAACCCACTCATGCTTTTGACACTGTGAAAACAGGAGTGAGAGATTTAAAGATGATCTCTCCTTCCCACCCTGGCTATGAGAGTCTTTATTGTGAAGAGCAGGGTCTTGTTCCCAGAGTTGCCACTGCTCTGCTCACTGGTCATTTGATCTCCTTTCTCTTCTGGGTCTACGGTGGTGAAACAGCTTTGCTTTGTACAGTACGGAGAGATCTACTGATGTACAGGTCTATAACAGTACAAGCATTGAGTCAGTCTGGGTAAGTGCAAATGGCACTTCCTGAAGGGCTGAGGGTAGTCACAGGAGCCCGTGTGCTTACGTAAAAAACAGTTGGAAACACTAAACATGCTCAGAAAGTTGTAGTCATCTCCAAGTTCATCTGTGTTCCCCATCAGTCTTTACTGTCCCAGGGAAGCTCTTGTGCAACCACTCTGTCACCTAGAATAATCCACCATGTGGCACGCACTTCTAGAATAGAAATGCAAAAGATTGTTTTGATCTGGTGAATAGATCCTGTAAATTAGTCTCAGAAGTGTCCCACCAGCAATGTTGTGACATTGGAAAGCAGTTCACTTTTGATTTGAAAGTGTAAGCTTTCCAGAAAATGGATTTAAGCCTGGATTCAAACTCCACTCTTGTATTTAGAGTCTCTGTTTGAACAACAGAATGAAACAGGACAGCTAACTGAAGGGTTATTTAGTCTTCACTGGCACTGGCCTGAAGAGCCCAGCAGTCTGGTGCATAAAACAAATTTGGTCTGCTTTAGCGGTTTAACTACTTCTAGCTGCACAGTGAAAACCCTGCTGAAGAGATGCAGCTCTCAGGCACCCTAGCTCTGTCACCATCGAAACGCTCAGCAGACCTGACAGTTGGTTGGCACCAACAAGCTCCAGCTGACACTGATGCCCTAGATGCCCAGTGGGGTGAAAAAACACTGACAAACATGGAGGCATTGAGAAATTCTCTAAGAAATACAATGACAGCAACCAGAAGGGCCCAGGTATGTGTCTGTGGAAGAACTACCCATACTCACTGTCTAGGGCTCCTGTGGACCTGCAGATGTTTGGAGGTGACAGGACACTGAATAGGCCAGTTTTAATACATGGTTATACCTGCTTCTTTTTCTTTTGCAGGTGCCAGTGTTATCACAGATGTGTGATGGTGCTGCGTGCGGTTTGACAGGAGCTAACTGCATTTTCAGCAAACTAATTCTTGTAAAGTTCTGATGTTCTGGGGCTCTCTGGTAAGAAAAGGGCTCTCTGAATGAAAGATGCTGTGAGATGGTGATTCACTGAAGTTTTATGCATGCTGGTGATATTCTTGTCTCAGAAAAGCATCATAAGAGAATGCTGTATTAAATTATCTGTTCAACTATTTACTTAGTCCCCTCAAATTTAAATTTTTGAAATAACTTTCTAAAAAGAGAGGGACACTCTGATTCCTCAGCCAGTGTTTCAGAGCCGTCCATTTTAACCTCTGCCTTGATAATGCACAAATCTCTCTTCTCTCTGGGTGATGGATAAACCCAAATGTGTAGACCAGAGACTGGCTGCTGCTCCTTTTCACGTTTTTAAAAAGTAGCCTTCTAGTGTCTCATGTCATACCCTCATGACGTTTGAAAGTTTTCATCTCACTCAGGCATGTGAAGGCCCAGAAAAGACTTTCTAGTTATTCATCAACAAAGCTTTACCGAAAAATCAAAACAAATGCTTGGCGAGCCCTGGCTTTCCAGTGAGTAATGGTTGTGAGCCTGGCCACATGAAACCAGGACCGTTGATATGTGATTTACTCTAGAGCTGTTTTCAGGAGAAGGCAAGCAGGAAGAAAGTCTTCTGCCAAGGGGAGCATCTCAGACGCCTTCAGCTAAAAACTGATCTTCAGCAAACCAGAGGATGGGCGTCTTGGTGTGCCAAGAGTCAGCCTGCGCTAGCATGAAAACAGTTGTGTTTTCTTCCCTTACTGGCTGTTTATCTGGCACTTCAGTGAGGCACCACTGGTCAGAGATGGACTAATAAGGAGGCAAGGAGGAAGGAGTCTTGTTCATGAGCCCGAGGAGAACTTGGCAGCGCTGGTTTGCGCCCCTCTGCTATAACCACAGACATTAACTCTTTGGAGGGAAGACAGAGCAGTCTTACTGACCAGCTGCTTTGTAGCAGAGAAGCTCAGAATACATTTTGGGTGTTAGAGGCAGGATGGTACCTAGGAGCATGCACTTTCCTTTTCAGACCAGAATCCAGGTTCCCGATCAATCTAGGAACTGGCAGCAGAAAATGACTATCAGGTAAAACTTCTGCAGCAGCTGCAGACGAGAAATTGGTTTTTTGTTAGAAATATCTATAAGCCCCTATCACTGAACAGCCAGAGCAGCTTTTATCATTCTAAATCAGTCACTTTATGAAGCAGCAAGACCGCAGCGTCTTTCATCTTAAAAGCTCAACAACAGAAACTTTGAAGCGGTAATGAAATGATGCAGATCTCCACTCCAAAAATTATAATGGTCCACAGGCAAATCTGAAGGCAGCCCAGAAAACAGAGGCTAGTATCCAAAAGTTGAGCTGAGACTTCTCTTTCTTGCAGCAGAAATAATCCCCAAACTGCCCTCTGTAATATCTGAGCAGCCCCAGTTCTTACAAGACATGGCATGAAGTGGAAGGAAAGAAATCTCTAAAGTCTCTAAAAATCACTTGGACCTTGGATATGTTTCCACATAGATTTTACCCATCCTCAGCAGGGCAGCAGTCAGGCCGCAGGGGTGACTCAGCACCGCAGCGCCTAACATGATTTTATTTCTTCTTCATTTAGCCAGGAGCCAGAACTTTCTGAGCTTATAATGCCTGATACTAGCACAAATACCACATTCCTGTAATTTTTTTCTTCTGCGAAGTACTAACATATCCTCTCCACCTGGGCTCCCCGTTAACATATTTTTTCTCCTTGGGGACCTGAAAGGTCTCAATCAAGATATGGAGTCCATCATGCTGAGTACAGCTATGCAATGGAGACAGCCAGGCTTTGCCCCAGACACCAACCAGGCTAAACCTGGGGCGGGGACAGGGTGGGATGGGAAGCTGCAGCTCACCCCCAGGGACAGTGTGGCCACCCATGGCCAATGCAGTGGGATGGCAGCAATGCCCTGCCAACTTCACCAGTCCATCTCCTACCTGGGAAGCAGCCATGTCATCCTCCCAAAAAGGCCATAGCATATGTATTTCAAATTACATATATTTTATATATATATATGTGAACAAGGCAACATTTTAAGCCAAAAATTATAGTGCAGCACCAGTGGGTTTTGGCAGAGGGACCATGTACAGCAACCTTCACTTGGAGGACAGCCCCATCCACCTGTCCCAAAATTTCAGATGTACCGGGGAGGCCCCAGACCACTACTCACCGTCGACGGGGTTGAGGTAATCGTGGAGATGGGCTGTGCTGGCTGCTCCCCCACTCTGCATCAGGAGGTCCCCGTAGGGGTTTGGGTGGCCGGCCATCAGCGTCATTTGGTGGTAGTAGTTCACCCCCGTCTCCCCCCCACGCCCCCCGCCAGCCCCGGCCGTGTGGCTCCACATAGGGCTCTCGTGACGTGCGCTTGGGCGTGCTTCTGCGGACAAAAGAAACTAAGCTGGGGCCTCTGCATTCCTCCATTTCCGCAAATTTATAAACAATCTCTCGTTCTCCCTTTTAATAATCCTCCCGTTCGGACGCAGCCGGCACCCCAGGGAGGGGGGGAGAGGGCCCAGCCTGCCGGCAGCAGTAACCCTGTCAGCATTAACATCCCTGCCTATTAGGAAGGAAAGACAAATGCAGCCCAGTTCCCGATAGCAGCACGAGGAAATTAAAGCCAAGGTCTAATGCATAGAGCTAGGTTTAGTGTCTGGCAGCATAAAACCATTTTGGCTGCCAAAGCCAATTACGCTCACTTTCTCCCAGACGTAATTTTTCAAACCTGCCTCCTCACCCACTTGCCCCATTAACTTATTTACCACCGCCTTAAAAAAAGAAAAGAATAAAAGGAAAAGAAAAGCAACCCAAAACACAATGCCTTTTTCTGATAGCAAATAACGAAACTGGCTTTGGAAGGGGAGGGTGGGTCAGAGCACGCACACGTCAGCCATCAGACCTCTCTGGGGCGGGCGGCTGGGAGCTCAGATGATGTTTTGGGGGAGGGAAGAAGACACACGCATCTCCCCATCACCCTAGCGATGTATTTTTCAGCCATAGGAGACGGTTTTATGCTGCCAGGCTCTAAGCCGGGGGCCTCGTTGCTCTTTCGTGCACTTTGCTTTGTGGCGGCCAAGGGCTGCTTGTCACCACAGCAGCTCGGGAGTCGAGAGCTGCTGGGGTTTGCCGGGTGTGCGGAGACCGGGTGCCCAAGTGCCGGCTGCTCCCTGGGCACTGAGCCAGCTGCCTGCAATCGTGTAATGAAGCATTTCTGATGAAGTAAGTCATGACTTACACCTCCCCAAGTAAAAGCAAAGTCATGCAATTTCTGCTTTCCTTCCTTGGCCGTTTTTGTCCCCAGGTCCCTGACACAGGGTCTGCCGGGACGCAGAGACCATCACCACCTCCACGTACACCCAGTGCCAGCCTCCTGCGCACCCTCGCCCTCTCCAGAAAGCTGCTGCAGGGCAGCCCAGGAGTAAGAAGGAAGAAAGTGCGGCCTCTCTCCTTCACCTGGGAGCCATCCTGCCCTGAGACACAAAGCCAACAGGGGACAACCCAGCCGGCATTGCCTCATCTCTGCAACGTCAGTCCCAGCCAGGCCAGGCAGCCAGAGCGACTGTGACTCTCTTTGGGGGAAACAGGACTCCCGGTAGAGAAAGAAGAGTGGGGAAGCTCATAAGAGTGCTGAGAGCACTGCAGAAAGGAACGTACTTTAAGCAAAATATTTATAATATGATCCAGCAGTAATAGCTATTCTCACGCTCTGCTTTCTCAGTGAAATGATGCAAAACAAATGTGTAGTTAAAGGGAGGAAAAAAAAAGAAAAAGAGACAGCTCTCCCACTTCAGAGAGCAGCTGCGGAGACTTTGCAGCTGTAAATCCTCAAGGTTTTAGGGAATTGCAGCGCTGGTGAGCTACAAAATCATGGCAGTAGCGGTAGCACAGCGTCTTACCGTCGGCGGGGCTGAGGCCCCTGGCAGCGGAGATGACGGAGAGCGTGGGGCTGCCGTGGACGGAGCGGAGGGAGTGCTCCATGTGAGGTGCCACGTAGGGGTGCGGCGGCCTGAAGGGCGACTCGCCGGGCCCAGCGGGGTGCGGAGACAGGCGGATGAGGGAGATGTCAGAGATGACGGGGCTGCCGCTCAGGGGAGGAGGCCTGGGAAGGAGACAGAGACACGCCGTCACTCACAGCCTCCCTGGAGCAGGCATAGCCGCCTGCTGCCCTCCTCCCTCCCACCCCACCGCCTTTGCCCATGAGGGAGGAGGTTGAGGCCATGGTAGGAAAAAACCGCCCTTCTTGGGATACGCCTGAAGCCAGCACAAGCTTCCCACGGACCCACACCTGCACTGCACTGAACGTGTAGTTGTGCAAGGTGGCTCACACCAGCATGGCTGCCTTGAAAAGGGGCAGGAGCTCCTTTGGGCAGCACCTGCATGCTCCATGCTAGGCATCTCACCGCATCTCCTTGCAGAGGGAGGCTGGCTACACGAAGACGTTAGAGGCAAACCCAGGGTTTGTAAGCTGCTTGCTGCCCCTGGGTATCCATAGGTTTAGTGCTTCCACGTGCAGGCAAAGCCCTGGGCAGGGATGCCCACAAAAGGATACAACAGGCACGAGGAGTACTTATACGACGCGGAGGCGATGTCCTTTGCTTGGCTCAGCATGCGTGGCTCAGCCAGCGATGATGAAGCAGCCCTCCCTACCTGCGTCCATCACGGCTTGCACAAACCTCCCTGACAGATCAGCAGTACGGTTCAGAGGGCAAAAGTTCAGGAGAGGTTTTATTGCATGCTTTTCGAGGGCCATCTCTGTTAAACCCCTCAGATCTTCCTCAGGCTGAATGTTACCTGAGAAAGAAGTCAGTAAATGCTGAGGGATTCAGCAGCTAACAAAAATATATCACAAGCGTGTTTCTGCACTCAAGCAGTTTTCTCAGGGTGAGCAAAGTTGGAAGAGAAAGCGCAGGGACATTTCCTAGACATGTCTCCTATCGTACCCTCCAGCCTCTTAGACAAACCACAGAGGGTGCCAAGAGGGGAGAAAAAGTTACACACCCTGACCTGATAAGTAGAAAACCTGAGCTAGACACCAAAAGAGGCAGAGCTGTCATTAGACAAAATGAAAGAGCAAAATCTGCTTTGCATTAGCTCTCTCTCTACTCACAGACTGCTGGAAGCAGAGCTGGTGTGGAGATGCAGGTCACGGCACGGACGGTGTTCATCCCTGGCTGGATGCTTTGGCAAAGCTGAGGGAGATGGACGTGCACCCCACGGGCTTGCACCCTGGGCATGGGAGACCACAGGGATTCGGGGTTTCGGTGGTCAGGGATCTGGAGCATGGGCTGAGCTAAGGGACAGTACTACAAATCTCCTTCCCTAAGAATATCCAAATATGCCGTTAGTGAGTGCGTGTAAGCTCTGTCTCTCCATGCACAGACAACCACAAACACGAGGGTCTGAGCAGTTTAGACATGCCACCTTCACCTCAGGATCTTGGTCCCACCCTGCCTTATCAACAGTTCAGGTGCATTTTAATTTATTTGTAATACTTGCATATCAACAAAACCACACAGAAATGTAATATAAGCTTTGCAGACTTCTTCAGCAGTTTACGAGCATGTTTGTCTTTGTTTGATCTTCCGCGTGCTTCTCTGTCTTTCTGATAAATTAGTAAACCTTGTGGCTTTTTGAACACTTTCTGCTGATGGGTAGTAAATTAAATGCCTTTTAAAATATTTATAGTTCAAAGTACTTTCCCGTAGCAATACACTCCATGGCTCACTGGTGTGAAATACAAGGCAGTGAAAACCTATCAGATATAAAGGACTTGCAGAGAAGCACTGCTACCAACACACACACAAGCTCATCAGACCAAGAACAGGGTTTCGCCGAAGGAACACCCACCAGCATCAAGCCTATTTTCTTTTCTGGCACTGAAAGGCAAACTTCTGACGGCATGGCTATTTCAAACCTCATAACCTCCCCACCTGCATTGCTCTGGCATTTTGTTACCAAAATTACAGGGCGTTTAGCTGAGAAAGGCGCCAGCGGAGGCAGCCGGGGCGGGTTTCTGTGGAGGCTGCTAATAAAGGCGGCCGAGCACGGAGCCGACCAATTTATTTCTACCGGGAGGAGGGAGAAGTGAATCAAAGTCTCTGTTCCAGATTTAGTTTCAATTCATTTCTAATAATCTCCACCGCCTCATCTGGAAAAAATGAAACAGGATTAAAAAAAATGATGTCATTAAGAAAACATCTGACTAATTTTTCTTCTGACGAAGACTTAATATAAGTGAGGGGGGATGTAAATTAAAAGCAGCCCCAATCTTCCCTGGGCCACAGAGCCTGCCTTAATACATAAGCCATGAAAGAAGTTTTCTTACATATACAATAAGTTCCCTCTTTCATCAGTACTCACAGCTTCTCCCAAAAGGGTTGTGAACTTCTTTGATGCAGGCTTGAAACTATGTATTACCAGGTTTACGAGCCTTCGGAGCCTCCGCTGATCAAACTGTGAGTCCGACATCTAAAATGCGTGTAACAATATGAAGGGTTTGCTGTTCATTTTCTCTGTGCTAAATTGGGCAGAAATGCTGGAGTCCCTCAGAACAGGAAAACCCCACCCTGGCCAAAGAGGTAACACTGGGAAAAAGATCAAGAATTCACCCAAAACGCATGCAGCTGGAGGCGCGGGCGGTGTTTCAACAGGAGGCTGACCGAGTGCGTGAAGACCGGGTTGGAGAGCAGGCTTCTCCTCATGGCTCTGCTTAAAGCCTTGCCTTGCCGGAGCTCTCCGTGCGCGGACTAGGACAGCCGTACTGCCAGCCGGGTCTGGCTCCCGTCAGCCCCCCCAGGCAGGGACCATGTCTCACGCTCGTACGCCTACAACTCTAGCAGAGCACCATCCCACGGCGCAGCACGTCCCAAACTAATGTGGATTCCAGTGGCTGTCTCCTAGGAATGGCTCGCTTGGCTGGAGGAACCGTCTGCTCCTAGTTTCCCAGAAGTTAGGTTTTTCCCCTTTTCTTCAAATTCCACTACTGGCATTATTTCTTCTCTAATCCCCAAGGCCCAGATTGTGCCATCGCATTGGCACTCTGCAAATACACAGTGAGAGGCAGCCATAGCTTCACAGGTCTGTTCCTAGAACGGCAAAGGGACAACAGCTAGCTGCTGCTTTTTAGAGGCAGTGGCTTAAATGGGGGAGACACGAAGCGATGCTGGGGGAAGGCGGTTCTGCCCCCGTGGTCAGCTCACCTCCTGGGCAAGCAGGGCTCCTCATCCCCATGCCCCGAGCCCCACAGCGGGACGATATCCACCTTAGTGCAGTAAACCAGTCCGTGCAATGTTGCCAAGGTGTCAGAGCTGGGTTTCTCGGTGTGTCCGTAGAGCTCCCTGCCCAGACCTCCGCTGTCCGTACATCACCCATGGCTCCCTCCCTGGATCCCGTGGATGGCACAACGAGCACACCGCTGTTCCTTGGGGAGAGCTGCTGGCTCTGCTGAAACCAATGCTGTAACAATGTCGCTGTCTGCAGCTGGATGAGGGATTTCACCTGCACACGTGTATTTCTGAAGAAACTTGGATTTTGGTTTTCAAATAGGCTAAGGGAATTGGGTGTCCAAACTCCATTAAATGTAACGGGAGCCAGGGGCTTGTTTTCCCTGCGGCTCCAGCAAGAAGCCCAGGCTCTATAATTAATGCTCAGGACTTGCAGAGCAATTTGCATCTCTGACGAAGAACACGAGCCTGGATTCATTTCCTCTCCCACCCACGAGAGGCTCTCCCTTCCCCACTCACTAACAGAGGGAGATGCTGAGGTGGGGGAGACATTAGCTGACCTCATCTAAAGGCTGCTGGGCCTCATGGTGATGCTGGGGGCACGCGCACTGCTGAAGGCTTTACAGAGCAGGTCTTTGCCGGTGCAGTGGATAACCATTCTCAGAGAGCAGAAATCCTTGCGCTATTTACCTGGCTCCAGCTGCCTGCAGAGTGGGACTGTTGGGCAGCGGGGGTGCACAGCAGCAGAGGAGCACGTCTGGCACAAGAAGAGCTACCAGCATCTGAGATGTGACACGCACCGCCCGTGGGACACTAGGAGATTTTGGGTGGTTTCTCAGGGGCTGGTCACTCCTTGACTGCCCTTCACTGGGGAAAAGAGGTCTGCTTAACTTTCCTGCTGCCTGGGTTTCACTCAAAGGAGCTCCAGATTGTCCAAAGCTCCACAGTCTCATCCAAATGGCTGGGGGAAGGAGCTAGTAGTTTTTCTTTGGAAAGCAAGGCAAAAAAATTCACCCCATGGTTTTCAGAGAGGTGGACCAGTGTGTCCTGGCGTGTGCCTCAGAGCCTGGCAGACACTTGCCCTGGATGCCGTGGCTCACAGGAGGTGCGTGTGTGCTGCGCTCATGGTCCCATGCCAGAAGAGTAGCGCTGGGCTCCTGAGAAGTGAAACCCCTTAGGGGCTGGCAAAATCAGTGCTGGCTGCTACAAACTGGGCCTTGGGGTGACTTTTTTCCCATCCTGCTCTCCCCTTGCGGTCAGGCACCAGAAATCCCAAAATCGTGCATGGTGGAGATGCGGCACCATGTCCCTGTTGCTGCATGCAGGTCTGGAGCCTCTGCAAGGGGCACCCAGCAATGAATGCAACAGTTAAAGAGGTTGCACATTTCTGAAATATTCTCCATCAGTTAAATAAAATCCAGAAAAATGGGGACAATTAACCAGCACTAATGTCCCATGACTAGTCTAAATTAATACTTACGTGCCAAATATATTCATTCAGTGGAAAACAAAGGGCTGAATACTTTTCCATATGCTTAATGGAATATGGACAGTTGCAGGCAATTGTTTTACTGTACCATAAAAAAGCTGCATAGCTGCTACACAGAGATGGAAGCTAGGAACAAAGTTGCTCAGGGGGAGGGGTATCATAGCCTGGTAGTGTTTTGCTATAAGAAAAAAGCTTTTAAAGCCAAAAATCCCCTCTAAACCCCACATAAAAATAGTTGCTTTTGTTTTGTTTTAAATAAAACTTCCTGGCCTGGTTTTCACCAGCCCTGCGTACCCAGAACACCACCCAACATCTGCACGAGATGGGGGACAGCTATATGGATGCCTGAAAAGGGGACCATGCTCGTGGCAGGCACTCTACATATGG